ACTTTGGCATGAAATAATAAAATCGTATCAATTTGAGATGTTTGAAGCACCTAAGTATCATATACATAATATTATGTAAATGATAATGATTTAGTATCATCCGTTGTGATTTGTAACAACCTTATAAGATATAATTTGTACCATGTTGTGTGAAGAATATAATTTTGTTATTTGTGAAAAAAAATTTGTATCATATATTTGATAAGTTTGGGGAAATTTTGTATCAGATTCACTGTAGTAGAAGCTGTAGTAATATGTATAATACTTATAATATACAAAAATTAATAAGGTATTAAAATGTATTGAAAACAAATTTAAAAGCGACATAAAAATTATGGACATAAAAACTCTTCAAATTTAGAAGTATGAATTACTTAGAAATATAATGTTGACCTGGCTTGGGGAGGAAAACTCCAAAACACTTAATGTATCTTCAAAACAATAAAACTTATATCTTGACTGTAAGTCAGTAAATAAACTACTATTCTACATTTATCAGTTCATCATCTGTCAATGGAATGAAGACACATTTAGCCTTGTAGGATTATCATTCTCGCTAACGTATTCCGCCTTGGCTTTGTCGGTACCATATTTCCATAACAGTGTTGCATATCTTGAGCGAAGATAGTCACTTCGAAAAGGAATCGATGGGACCTTCATTTCGTCACTCAGAAATTCAGCAAAAGCAGCTACATACGTTTCGCATTCACTGCAAACAGAAAGAAGATACATTATAAATTGAATGAAATGAGTAAGTAAAGTTGGGTGGATACAATACTGACAGGTCTAAATTAAAAGCAAAAGAAATACATACCATGGGTAGTGTTGGTCGAGAAATGGGAGGGGAAACCTTTCTACCCCTTTTCTTTTGAGTTTTTGCATCTTTTGCTTTAGATGATTCCCCCACTTCCTTTTTCGATTTTCTCTTCATAGAAGTTGATTTGCCATTAATATCGGTGCAGTAAATTTTTAGACCTCTGTTCTGCCCAGTTGGCGTCTTTTGAATCAAGAATTTGATCATTGTTAGGTGTTATTATTTGAGAAATTCCAATATTAAAAGACGGATGATCCATTGTACAACAAATAACCTCTATATCATACAACGAATTTCAACCATGAAACCTTAATATCAACAAGTAAAATATACTTTATTTCAACAATGAAACCTTAAAATCAACAATAAGATATCAGCAATTGATAAACAGATATATGAATCACAAGTAACAGATACTTTATTTCAACAACCATATTTTTCATCTACAAATTTAAAAGTGAAACTCAAACCCAAACAATCAGTGTTTCTACATATTACAAAACTTGCCTATCTTAAATACAAATCGCAGCACACAAAACTTGCCTTAAACTAGTCTTTCATCTACAAATGTAAAACAAATACTTTTTTTCTATCATCTACATATATGAATCACAAGTAAAAGATACTTTATTTCAACAATGAAACCTTAAAATCAACAATATGATATCAGCAATTGATAAACAGATATATGAATCACAAGTAATAGATACTTTATTTCAACAACCATATCTTTCATCTACAAATTTAAAAGTAAAACTCAAACCCAAACAATCAGTGTTTCTACAGATTACAAAACTTGCCTATCTTAAATACAAAACTTGCCTATCTTAAATACAAATCGCAGAACACAAAACTTGCCTTAAACTAGTCTTTCATCTACAAATGTAAAACAAATACTTATTTTTCTATCATCTACATATATGAATCACAAGTAAAAGATACTTTATTTCAACCATGAAACCTTAATATCAACAAGTAACAGATACTTTATTTCAACAATGAAACCTTAAAATCAACAATAAGATATCAGTAATTGATAAACAGATATATGAATCACAAGTAACAGATACTTTATTTCAACAACCATATCTTTCATCTACAAATTTAAGAGTAAAACTCAAACCCAAACAATCAGTGTTTCTACAAATTACAATATACACTAGATACGTTTATTTTTCAACAATGTGTAAAATTAAAAGCAAAAGATAGACATACCATGGGTAGTGTTGGTCGTAAAATGGGAGGGGCAACCTTTCTACCCCTTTTCTTTTTAGTTTTTGCATCCTTTGCTTTAGATGATGACCCCACTTTCGTTTTCGATTTTCTCTTGGAAGAAGTTCGATTCGCCATTAATGTCGTTGCATGCAAGCTTTTAGACCTCTGTTCATTCAAGTTTCCGTGTTCAGATTCAAAAATTTGTTCATTGTTAGGTGTTATTAATTGGGAAATCCCAATATTAAAAGACGGATGATCCATTGTGACAAATAATCCAAAATCGATTGAAACAAAAAATTGATTTTGAAAGAAAAATGAAGAAGAAGAAGAATACCTATTTTGAACTTTGACACTGTTGAATCATTTGGAAATCAAATTGCTTTGAAAGCGGTAACTGATTTGGTAGTGGGAGAGATTATAGGCGAGATTTTGGGGGTGAGGAAGATGGGTTTGATTTCTTTCACAATAAAGTATCCGGAAAATAGGAATTGGGGAAAAAGTAGGGATTTTTGAATTTTTATGAAAGAGAAGGGATTAATTGATAATAGGTAAACATATGTAGTGTACTTTAGTAATTTTACCTATAATTAGCTCATGTTATTTAATAGAATTAATTGAGTGATAATAAGTATTTAAGTTTTTTAAAATGGAACTATTATTCACAAGCTTATTAGATTAGAGAAATCGATATTATTTTATTTATAACAATGTAATTCTGCCATTTTAAATTGTATATTTTTTATCTATAATAAAACAATATTATTGATCTTAGGTTGTAGATCTAAATTATATTTAATTTTGACGAGGGAGCATTTTACCTTTTAAATAGGAATTAAAAAAAACTAATTTGACCATTTCACATTCATATTTATCTAACTAAATGACATGTTAAATCGAGATAGGATTCGAGATTTTAGTTTAATGAGTTTGACTTTAAATTTTTTTAATATTAAGTTGAATATATTTTAAATATATGAACTTGAATATATCACGATCCACATAATTATTATTTTTAGATTCAATGAATCTGATGTCAGAAACTTATTACATTTGAGAATTAAAAGGGTTTATATATATATATATATATATATATATATATATATATATATATATATATATATATATATATTAATTAGTTAACTTAAGCAAGCAAAAGATTATCCTTCACTTGTTGGACATAAGATTTGAAAGTGATTGAAATAACTTAACAAGTTGAAAGTTTTAAGATAAAGTAGTAAAATTATGCTTCTTTATGTATTAACTAGCTTTAGGAATATATCAAATTTATTTTGTTATTTTGCTGATTTCCTTTTTATCTTTTAATATGTCTTTCATTTTAATTTAACGTTATATACAATAACAACAACAATAATATTCCGACAAGTGATATTAATTGTTTTCAATAGACCATCAGCTTAAATAAAATTAACCTTATATCCTAACCCAAAAAAGCAATTAGTACATTACTGCATTAATCAATTCAAAGTTTGACATATTGGGAGACTTTAATTTCAAACTAAGATATCATCTCCAATTGCTTTTATTATAATCTAATTTTAAATGATCACATTATATTTAATAACCTATTAAGACAAAATTAATATTTTTTAGGTTCTATTATTAGTATATACAAATTGTGACTTCTTTTTTCCCCCAAAAGGTCTATTCATTTAATAATAACAAAAAAGGCTTACAAGTGGCAATTGCTTATTTGCTACCGACACAAAAAATAAAATAGAGAAACAATTATAAAGACATGAAAAGTAATCAATATTTTTTTAATTATATAAATAGTGAATCAATTAATACCAAACAAAAAAAACCAAAAATTGAATGGGCTATACTAACAATCTTCCAACCTCAAAAATAACAAAATAAATAAAATAATATATAAAAAATATGTTTAGCAACCTCCTAGATTGGAAAAAGACAGCACATGTTGTACTACAATTTATAGACAGGGACACACATGTCAATATCATTAATCACATGTCCATATTTGTATTTTTAATCCCTTATTTTATTGTTTAGTACTTAATTAGAATTAATTAGTACTACAATTAAAAGCATGATGAGGTGAATATACCATATTTAGTTTAATTATGCTTTAATCATTTCTAATCATATGTACTTCTATAATTAAATTGCATTCATTGAGATGAGTCAAGTTGATCAACTTTTTACTTCTTAACTATTACTAGTGTTCTCTTTTCTTTTTTTTCGCTTTTATCATTTGATATTCGAAGTTTATTGATTAGATTAATTTGAATATTTAAAAAGCTCGTATAATTTTTTTTTTGAATCATTTAGTTTTATAAGTTTTCTATGCTCAATATTGAATTTAAACCGTTATAGTCAAAGATTTCGTAAATGTTCTTCATGCAAAATAATTTAAACTCGAAATTCGATTTAAGGAGAATGATCCTCACTATTTCATCATATTGATCGCTCTATTCTTGACTATCCAACGTTCACTATGGACATGATAACCAATACATCAAACCGTTCTTCACCATTCTTTAACATCCACATTAAATATGATCTGAATTGTCTTGCATTAGTTTGAACTCAATTAACGTATTGGTTTAACAGGGGAATGATCCAAACCTTACTACAATCATAGGTCACAAAACGTAAACTTCGAGATGTTAAACTTTCTGATTATATGATCAACATGTTATTCTTTAGAGTAACTTTTATCTGTTGAGCATCGGGTCATTAACATATTATTTTTTCAGAGTAACTTTCATTTGTTGATCGTCGGGGCAATTATTTTAAAACACTTAAATTTGACTATAATGCCCTTTTTTGTTTTTTCCCACCCTCTACCCCCACCCCCACCCCCACACTCCCCACTCTCCCCACTCTCCATTTCATCATCTCCTTTTTTTTTTCTCCACTCTCAAAAGCTTAAACACTTACTTTCTGCAAAGCTTAGCTTTTGGATTTCTCATTCTCTACATATGGAGAACAAAAATATGAGTTCTCGAATCGGGTCACACCAGCTGAGAAACGGGTTATTTGTCTCGGGCCGACCCGAACAGCAAAAGGAACGACCCACAGCTACATCTCGCGCTGTTCCGTACACCGGCGGCGACGTCAAGAAGTCCGGCGAGCTTGGGAAAATGTACGGCATCGACAGGTCGACTGGGGACCACCATACGGGCCCACCAATTCTGAAAAAACCATCTTCGAGGGCTTCATCATCTTCTCAGCATAACAGTGGATCCGTAAGATCCGGGCCGAATTCGGGTCAAATGGGTGGTCACAAATCCTCCAATTCCGGCCCGATTCCCAAGAAGTCCTCTTCCGGTCCAATTCAGCCAACGGGTCTCATTTACTCTGGTCCGTTGAGTTCCAGTGCCGGTAGGAGGTCCGGTCAGCTTGAGCCGACAATTTCGTTCAAAAAAATAGTCTATGGCTCCTCTGTTACTAGCTTGAGTGGTGATATAAAGATGGGTTTCAATGTTTCAAGAGTGGCAATGTGGGTGTTATTCGTGGTGATATTGATGGCTTTAATGGCGGGTGCTTTCGTGATGGCAACCGTGAAAAAAATCGTGATTTTGGTGGCTGTTGGTGCAGCTGTAGCTCCAATTTTGATGATCTTGCTGTGGAATTACGCGTATAAAGAGCGAGGCTTGGTGGAGTTTCTAAGAAGATATCCAGATGCTGAGCTTAGAGGTGCTGTTAATGGACAGTTTGTGAAGGTTACTGGGGTAATTTCCAACTCATATGTCAAAATTCAATCATATCATTTTATTTCTTATTTGTATTTGATATTTACTAAATTTGGTTTGGTGATGTTGAAATGTCTTAAAATGTTTTATTAAATATAGTAATGATTTTGTCATTAGGTGGTAGTTATGGTTGATTAGTAGGATAGATGTTTTGGATGATAGTATTAAGATTGTCATTTACCATATTGTCCTTGGAGGTGATGATGACCATGTGTTGTCCTTGCTAAGCTTTGATTTGAGTTGGAGAAGAATTTTCCATATTGATTTTGCGTTAAGTCACCTAAATTATGCTTAAGGAAGTGTTAAAGCACATAGCTTTATCGGTGTCTTAAGATTGTCAATTACAATATTGTCCTTGTGGGGGATCTCTTTGCTAAGCTTTGATTTGAATTGGAAAAGAATTTTCTTGATTTTGCCTGAAGTCACCTAAATTATGCTCAAGGAAGGTGAAAACACATAGCTTTATCCGGTGTCTTAAGATTGTCAATTACCATATTGTCCTTGGAGGCAATGATGACCATGTGTTGTGGAATCACTTTGATTGTTCTTGTCGGATCTTTGATACGCTTTGATTTGAGTTGTGAGGTAGAATTTCCTGAATTGATTTTACGTGAAGTCACCTAAATTATGCTTAAGGAAGGGTTAAAGCACATAGCTTTATCTGGTGTATTAGTCTTGCAAAGCGTTGGCTGCAGAGTACTGATCTGAAGTTACTCAATTCTTATTGCGTATGAGTTGTTTTAGAAAGTGGGTAGATAGGAGTTAGGACAGTATGATGTGGTAGAAAGGGGGAATAAATCGCTAAGTGTACTTATCCACGAGTTAGAAGAGGGACGGAAAGGAAAGAAGATAGTTAAGGAAAAAATGATATGATAAGTGGATATGTACTGGCTGCTGATATATATACTTTTTATGCAGTTTTAATAGACTGTTAGTTATCTATAAAGACGATATTTGAAGATATATGATGAACAAGAATAAGAGGGTTAGAACTACCTTTCTGATATCTTGTGTTCTTTCGTTACTTATTCAACAGAGAAATACTTCTTATCTTCTTATAAGTTTATTTGTGCTGCCCTTTCTTTTCTTCTGATACAAGAAAATAAGTACTGTTTTTTCATGGCCGTCCTTTAATTGTATGCAGCGTTCAGGTTCTAATTATCTCTTTGTTTCCTTTATCCAAAATGTATTTGTTGTTTTTCTTTAGTCCTTCATTGGAATTCCTATCCTACCTAAAACAGGGAGAACTTGTGCTTCTTTCTTGCTTGCTTATAACCCTTCTAACCCCTCTAGCCATAAACGACATCAAGTTCTGCTTTCACAATAACTTGATAAAATGATTAAATAGGTCTTATTATTGTATTTCTATAACCCCCTCATGTAGTGGTTTTCCGAAATGCACATTTGCCAAATATGATCCAGCCTTTCCACAAAAAGGAAAAAAAAAAAAAACCAATCCACAACAGCCCAAAAATTGGAGAACTACTTTTCTTTATACGAATGAAGAAAAAAAGGTGTCAAAGTTAGCTTTTAATTTGGTAATCCAATTATTGTATAACATGTGCGTATATTATGGTGTTTGAGTAAAATCTAGATAAATATGTGTCCCCAAACTTTACCCATTTCTACGGTATTAAATTATTGCTACATTAAGTGAATCCGTTTTCTTGGACTTCATCTTTGAGTTGCTATGGGAACCATACCCCTCATGAATTGCAAACAATGTTGGAAAGGGAAGCTTCATTATTAGTGTTATTTAAGGACTTGCTGTATTCAGCTGGACACACTAAGTACTCTCCCTGTGCTTCTTGTTGCTTGGAGCCTCCAAATATGGCTCTCTGTCCTTTGCTAATTTGCTCAAAATTTCAGTTTGGATTGTCATACATAATTCACTTTTCTAATAGACACCGCAGATATTGAACCTAGGGAATCAGAAACCTACGATTGTGATCTTCTATTAACCATGTTTCTACCCCAGAAGATGTAAATGAATCTTATGTTTAAGTCATATTTAATCTTCTTAATCATTAGGTATAAAATAATCACGTTTTGATGTTTGGAGTGTGATAGAGTTGATGACACCTGCTAGAATTTTATTCTTTCTTTGGAATTTAGATGGAAATTTATTAATTCTTCTGAACTTTTAGCGGTGAGAACTTTTAGACCGTGTCAAGCCTTGGTGTCTTGTAAAGATGGAAAAGATCGGACTGTAGTTTGTTACTTTGTTTTACTTTGTAATGTTCCTTATAAAGTGTCAATTTAGTTTTTGCATGAATGCACACAGAAACTATATATCTTGTTTTGCTTATGGTGTAGGATGTAACACGTAAATGAAAACAGTTCTAAAAACATTAGAATCCGTACAAGATTAGACGGGGAACACTTTTGTTGTTTGTTCTTTTGCTTCTTCATACAGCCGTAATAGTACATCCTTCGGTGCTATTCTAATGTATATAATTACTTTAGCTTCTCAATTTAAAAAAAATAAAATGAATGCACACATAAAGTTTACCATTATGCTACCTTATCAAAAGTTTACCATGATACTACCAATGAATTACTTGTAACACATAAAGATCTTGCATTCCAAATCCTGCACACTTTCAAGGATGTTATTTAGGGAGTAATATAAATTCTATTCTTTTTGTAGGTTGTCACCTGCGGCAGTATCCCTCTTGAAACTTCTTTTCAGCGGGTACCAAGATGTGTATATGCTTCTACTGAATTGCACGAATACAAAGCTTGCGTTGGAAATTGTGCAAATCCTAGACAGCGTAGCTTTTCATGGGGACGCAGGCATTCAGAGGTTGGTTTGTATATCAACTATTTGAGTATTTCTTGATTTGATCCCAGTACTCAGTGTCAATTGGTATCAGCCGAATGTTATTTTAAGTGCAATAGTTATTATTATATAACAGTGGCATAGATATAGTTATGTTGATACTTATACTATTTCATCCTCGTTAGAAGTTGAATACAAATGCTTCGGGGAGGTCATCCGGTACCTATGCTGGTGGGGAGGTAGCAGGTACCTGATGGAATAGTCAAGGTTCCATAAGCTGTGGTGTCATTGAAATATTACATGGGAACTATAAAAAAGTTATACCCCCTCTGATTCAACTTGTTTGTTTGATTTTGACTTAGCACGAAGTTTAAGAAAGTAAAAAAAACTTTTGAATCTTGTGGTCTTAAACTAAAGATACGTAGAATGTACCAAAATACCTTTTAATCTTTTGATCTTAAACATGCCATGTGGGAAGTTAGAATTAAAGAGTTGGAAAAAAGGAAATGGGGATTTTTATTAAAATGGACGAAAAATGAAAGTAAGACAAACAAATTGAAACGGAAGGAGTTAGCAGTTCAAGCTGAAGTTTTGGAATTCAGGTCACATAAGGCGATGGACTATCTATCTTCAAGCCTGAGCAAACAAACTTCAGTGTGAGTTCATAGAGTTAAAAAGACTTGTAACCAACATCATTTACCAACTTCGAGGGTTACGTTTTCAGAAATTTCTAGAGACTTCTACTGGTCAGATTTTGCTAAAACCAATAGTCCTGTTACTCTTTCTGATATACAAAATTTTGTACCGTCAACTCCTAAGAGGTCATAACGAGTGGTGACAATTGATCCTTTGCCTCTTCCCCTCATCCCAGGATTATGTGGTCATGATTCCAAATGTTATGTCTAATGAAGTCACCAAGTTAAAAAAAAATGTTATGTCTATTGTCTAATGAGAAACTGACATATGTTTCTTGGTAACAGAACTATGTTGGTGATTTCTATATATCAGACTTCCAGACTGGATTAAGAGCGCTGGTTAAGGCAGGCTATGGAGCAAAGGTGGCGCCATTTGTAAAATCAAAAACAGTTGTTGATGTAACGAGTGACAGTGAGTTGTCTCCCAATTTCATAAGATGGCTTGCTGATCGAAACCTCTCAAGCAACGACCATGTAATGCGACTGAAAGAAGGGTAAGTTGAGTTTATTCAGCGAAACTCATGTATTTATTCCAACTTATGAAAGCTTCCCCAGACTAAGGTTCTTGCTGATTGCTTAAAAAATTACAGTTACATCAAAGAAGGGAGCATCGTAAGTGTCATGGGCGTTGTAATGCTCCAAGAGAACGTGCTAATGATTGTTCCACCACCTGAGCCTATTTCAATAGGCTGTCAATGGCTCCGTTGTCTTCTTCCAACCTACGTAGAAGGTCTCATCTTGACCTGTGACGATATTCAGGACGGTGATGTTATTCCTGTATAGTATATACTACCAATTTGATTATTCCCACGAGTTTATGCCATAAGAGTACACAACCGATGGCAGCTCTAGGCTAGCGAAGGTGTGCCTTTTTTTCGTTCCTATGCAAATATTCAACTGTATGTAAGATTGCATAGTAGAACAGAAACAGGCAAAACCGTTTTTTTCTTGATGTCTGAAGTTGGTTATTCCTATGTATTTAATGGTGTTTTTTGCAGAGTTCCTAAAGGGAAGAGGAGATAAAAGGGTCTTCCTCCTTTGAGCAACTAAGCTTGTTGTGTATGATGCTAGATTTCATATCTAGTTTGTTTTTTGCTGCATTATGATATGTTTATATATGTATATGTTCATAGCTTGCTTTAGCCTTTTATTTTATATTTTCGCGGGTATAACCATTTGGTATTGGAATTCACTGGTTCTGAAATTTGCACCTTTAAGGCTCGTTAAAGGAGGAAGCGCTCTTTATCAGAATTTTTTTTCCATTTTCAAGGGTCGGAAAGACTTTTTGACAGAGAGACTCAGTTATTGGCAATTTTATTGGATTATATTGCCAAATTTGTTATCATGTAATGTAATGATGAAAAGTGCAGTTTTGGGGTAACAATAGATTTGTGTAATCACGTCATTACCTTGATCTTTATTCCATTGCTTGTACTTTTTGTATGACAAGGGAACCCACAACGACTATACTTTAGGTATGCACAAGGTAAATTCTATTGTAGTGTAATAGTCCACAAATCATATAGGAGAGGTAAATCGTATCAAGCAATCCCCCTGCGTTGAGCACAATCGAAAAAGCATGCATGCGGTTTCGAACCTCAGACCCCCCTTATTGCCCCTGTACTTATTATTTAATAATTCTATTTTACTTAGCATGCTTACCTTTTTTCTAATAGTACCTCTACCGTACGCCTTACGTTTTCTCTGTAATATGATAATCTTATTCTTCATAATGTTAGTGTAATAACACAATGAAACGACGGAAAATGATATAATCATCCGAAGTTCCAAATATTCAATTCATTAATATAATATAATACAATACGATATATTAAAAAATGATACGTAACAAGGTGTTATTGTATAAGAAAATAAGAACACTAACAAACTTTCTATATAGTTCTGACAATTCTTAGAAGCCGCGCGAAATGGCTGTTGTACGGAATAACAGAATCAAGATTCCCTTCATTCCCCTGTGATCTTTTCACCTTTTTTTCATATTTCTTCAAACTAAAAAGAAAAAAAATCAGCTTTTTCTCATACAATATTTCAAGATTCATTAAAGGGGTTGTAGATAATAGAAAAAATTGTAATGGGTAATCGAAATATGGATGATTTCTTGATTCTATATATTTTTGGAATTGCATTTATGGGTATGTTTTTAAGGAGTTTTGGGAGTGTTGGAGTGAACTGGGGTACAATGGCAACTCACCAATTACCCCCAAATAGTGTTGTGAAGATGTTGATAGAAAATGGATTTGATAAAGTGAAACTGTTTGAAGCAGATGAAGTGATTTTGAATGCTTTAATTGGTACTGAAATTGAAGTAATGCTTGCAATTCCTAATTATATGTTGGAGGATTTGAGTTCTAATCCTATAATTGCGGATTCTTGGGTTGAAGCTAATGTCTCTGCTTATGCTTATCCTCATGGAGTCAAAATCAGGTTCATCTTTAATCATTTCTTAGTAGTCATTTGCTTTACTTGAGTCGAGAGTGTTGGAAACAACATTTCTACCTTCGGAAGGTAGGGGTAAGGTTGTGTACTACACAACGCTCCCCAGATCCCACTTGGGGATTACACTGGATATGTTGTTGTTGTTGTAGTTAATAGTTCTCCTAGTTTATTCAAAGTTTTTTGTTGTTGAGTTGAGCTTAAGGGTGTGTTTGCTATGAAGGAAAATGTTTCTTGAAAAATAAGTAGTTTTCTTACTTATTTCATGTGTTTGCTAAGTATGCAGAAAATATTGTTCGAAAAGCATTTGTATATAATGTAAGCTAACTGTATGGGGTTGGAAGCTATGGGGGTGAAGTGTTTTGGAGGGTGCGGAGGAGACAATCAATGTAAAATGCTTCTTATGAAACCCGAATTCCTTATTTCCACTGAACTTGTTTACTTAGAGAAAATTTTCCAGTATTTTTAACCAAACACACCCTAAATGCAAAAACACATTACTTAGGATTCATATTGCCGATCCCAACTTATTTGACACTGAGGCGTAATTGTAGGACATAGGAAGATTAGGAAAGGGAAAGGGAACATGGACTTAGAGGAATTGAATCCATTTGTGATGTGTTTGCAACTTAAAGTAATTTCATTTGCTTTATCAGTAGAGTTTTTATCAGTGGAGTTTTGTTTGAATTTCTAAATAGCATTTCTCAAATGAATGTAGGTATGTAGCAGTGGGAAATGAGCCATTTCTCCGAACGTACAACGGGACGTACCTGCAGTACATATTACCAGCACTGAAAAATGTTCAAGAAGCCATCAACAAAGCTGGATTAGGGGCAAAGGTGAAAGCAACTATCCCTTTCAATGCAGACATTTACTTCTCCCCTGAGTCAAATCAGGTACCCTCAGCTGGTGATTTCAGGCCAGAAGTGCGCGATTTAACCCTCCAGATTGTCCAATATCTGTATTCGAATGATGCCCCTTTCGTCGTTAACATCTATCCATTCCTCAGTCTATATGGGAACATCTACTTCCCATTAGACTTTGCCTTCTTTGATGGCTCAAACAAGCCTGTCAGAGATGGAGATTATGTTTACACGAACGTGTTTGATGCCAATTTCGATACACTTGTATGGTCGTTGAAGAAAGCTGGTTTCACTGACATGAAAATCGTAGTAGGAGAAGTAGGTTGGCCAACAGATGGAGATAAGAATGCTAATATTGATAACGCTATGAGATTTAACCAAGGATTGATCAAACATTGTTTGAGTGAACAAGGAACTCCTGCAAGAAAGGGAAAGAAGATAGAGGTTTATTTATTCAGCCTTATTGATGAGAATGCTAAAAGCATTGCTCCAGGTAACTTTGAGAGGCATTGGGGAATGTTTGAATTCGACGGAAAGCCTAAATACGAGCTAGATTTATCCGGGAGAATGCAAAAGGATAAAGGGTTGGTTGCAGTAGAAGGTGTAAACTATATGCACAAAAGGTGGTGTATACTTAAACCAGAAAACGTGGTAACAGATGTAGATAATGCAGAAGACTTACCAAAAAACATAGATTACGCGTGCAGTCTTTCAGATTGCACGGCTTTGGGATATGGCTCGTCCTGTAACCATCTTAGCACAGAAGGGAATGCCTCCTATGCTTTTAACATGTACTATCAGCTCAAGAATCAGAACAGTTGGGACTGTGATTTTGATGGCCTGGCTGTGGTGACTGATGAGGATCCATCGGACGACAAATGCCGATTTCCGCTGATGATTGCTGTTGGTCACTCCCTGGAGATGCTGTTGCCCAAGAAGCTGTTGTATGTCTTACTTGTTGCTATTCTCCTCTTGATGGATGATTAGTGAATCTTGTTCCTTGTTTTTTCTCCTAGAGACAAGTCACTTAAGAGAAAATACATCAGTAAAATTCAGTATGTTAAAAGCAAGTCTCATTCTAGATATTGATAACTGTCTGTTGCTCAGACTCTATATTTTGGTGGCATAGCTTCTGAACAATTTCTTTGCGAAACCTTTATAGAACCGTACGTACAGTTTCACAAATTTTGGAGTCAATTTTGCCCATTTAGGGGCCAATTTACAGATATTAGACAATTTTCTTAGTTTTTCGTGTATTAGACCATGAATATTTCTATGATATGGCTTCCCGACGATCTTTGCGAAACCTTTACAGAACCCTCAGTAGGAAATTGGGGGAGTATTACGTACAATCTCACAATTTTTATAGTCCATTTTGGACATTTAGGAGCCAATTTATAGGAATTAGGTGATTTTTTTTCAGTTTTTCGTGTATTACGTAATGCTCCCCAAATCATTTATGTAATGCTCGTAAAAGCGAAAATATACTTGGAAAAAATGGTGGGACCGTACATAATGCTTCCCCAACTCATTACGGAGGTCCTTATAAAGTTTTTTTTTTTAAAAAATTTGGGTGCTCCGAGGCACCAAATCCATGGGCTAATACACATGAAAAACTAAGAAAGTTGGGTAATTCCTAAAGGTTGGCTCGTAAATGAGAAAATATGCGTGAAAAAAATGGTGGGACTGTACATAATGGTCCCCTAACTCATTTACAGAGGTACTCATAAAGTTTTTTTTAGAAAAACCCCCCAAGCGCTACAAGCCATAAAATCAATGGACTAATACACATGAAAACCACGAAAGTAGCATAGTTCCTAAAAGTTGGCCCCTAAATCCAAAAATATGCCTTAAAAAATGGAGATATTATACGTAATGCTCCCCCAACTCATCACGGTGGTCTTCATAAAAAAATTTCAAAAAAACCTTACCGACGCCACAACGCACCAAATCCATGGACTAGCCTATGAATATTTTGTGATCAGACAATTTCTTTGCATAACTTTTATAGAACCCTCTATATGGAGTTGGAGGAATAGTATATACTTTCTCACAATTTTTAGAGTCTATTTTGGACATTTAGGGGCCAATTTATAGGAATTAGGCAATTTTTCTTAATTTTTCGTGTGTTAACCTATGAATATTTTGGTGATATGATTTTCGAACGATCTAACTGTGAAACTTTTACGGAACCCTCCATAGAGAGTTGGGGAAGTAGTACGTACAATCTCACAATTTTTAGAGTCCACAATAAAAATGTAATACTTCATTAACTACAAGACGACGACAACAACAACGACATACTAGCGTAATCCAACAAAAGTGGAAGTCTAGAGATGATAAACTGAACACAGACTTTACCACTGCCTTGGAGTAGAGAGGTTGTTCCCGATAGACCCTCAGTTCAAGGAAAATACAGACCAAAGCAGTATAGAGAAAGAAATATTGAAATGGAGAAAGCCCTGGCAAAATATATAGATAATAACCGAAGTCAAAGGACAAGAAACTACAAGAGTAATACCACGACTAATATTATAGACAAATAAGCGAGACAATGCTCCGGTCACATTGTACCCTTTGTATTTAGGTGTGTACTTTTAAACACTACCATCAGAAAAAAGTTTCTTAACATGATAGTAATGTCGGCTTATGGAGACGCGATAAGAGATTAAAAAAGACGGGAGGAAGTACAACGAAAATGCTACAGTCTAGACTGCATTCCACCGGCAACTACAAGAGTTTCTCCGGTTACATAAGCTGCATCGTCTGAAGCAAGATAGGCAGTAGCTGCAGCCATGTCTTGTGTTGTTCCGAGCCTACTGAGTAATGTCTTAGCCTCCAATTCTCTCCTCTATAAAACAATAAGCGTCCACTTAATAAACTGTGAACTCGCGATCAGATATTTTAACCAACGAGAGATAAGACATCTAACAGTAATGCGAACTTACCAAATTAGCATCCCCTGTGATGAACTTGGCGAAATGTGTGGGTACAAAACCTGGTGCGACACAGTTCACACGAGTATTCGGAGCCATTTCAGCCGCCAGAGCCTGAAATGGCACAAAAAATTAGAAGGAAACTAAAAAGAATTCAAGAACTTTCACTGTATGGATTTTTCTGAGGCCACTCTTTAAATTTTGTCCCAGTTAGCATGGTGGACTAAATTTCGCCTTTAAAAGTAGTTGGATGAGTTTTTGTTTTTAGGCTAACGGGGACAGAAATTTTTAATAATTCCCTGGAAAAAAGCCATTTGTATCGTAACTTAATATGCCAATAATGCCACGATAAGTACCTTGGTCAGTCCAAGAAGAGCTGTTTTTGTTATGCCATACATTCCCATGGAAGCAGGTGGTCTATAAGCAACAATAGATGAAATTATAACCACCGAGGAACCCTTCTGAAGGTAAGGAGCTGCATCCTATAAGTATTTCAAAGAGTAAATATTATGCACAGCGCCAAGAACAATTAAAAGTAATATTGGGACAACGGAATGTAGAATAAATTAAAACATATGATCGAAAGAAAATCTTAGCATCCTCTAATTTCCTCAATATTTCTACAGGCATACATGAATATCGAACATTTTTCTCTTAAGAATTTATTCATATCAAATGACTTACTTGAAGTAATAAGATAGCGGCTTTCACGTTGATGTCCCATAGCTTGTCAAGGGTTTGTTCTTTAGTTTCTAATAATGTAGCCACGGTAGGATTTACAGCAGCATTTGACACAATGACATCTAATTTCCCGTATTTCTGGAAAATGACAACTTCCAATTAGTGAAATTGGAATATAACTTCTGCAGAGCAACTGTATTATCATACAAGTCAGATTCAAATATGATTAATATCAACCGATCCACAAATGTCTTTGAGGGTTCACCGTGCCTTTTAAGTACTATAGCGTCACCGTACACTCTTTTTATTGAAAATTTAGTAGGTGTTTCATCAATAATTAAGAAGATTAAAATGAGTGAAAACAAATTTATCATGTTTTCTGGAAATTTACTAGTCATTGTTCTTGTTTTCAGAAATTTCTAGGGTCTGAAAATGCCTATTAAGACACTGAGGCTGGTTTATCGAATATGATTCCTCAAATGGTCCATTTATAGCCAACAACGAGAGAAGCCATTTTTAAGAGAGTGAACAACAACCACTCTAATATTATGAAACGGTTAGACTCGCCTGAGAAACTCATGAGCGAAGAGCAATGAAAAAGCATCTCCGGGTATTCACTTTACATAGAAAGAGTTTGCTAGTCTAACTAAATGGTTTACTTGTCTATGATATTTCTTTCCATTTGGCTAAGCCTTGGTGAGTAGAGCTAGTTGGTACCTGTGCTAGTGAGAGAGATAACAGGTATCCGGTGGAATAGTCGAGACGCTCATAAGGTGACCCCCATATTACCTTTATAATTTATTTATTTTATCTCACACTAGAAAATGAATACAAATTAACTAGTTTCATTCACCAGAAAATTTTTGTGGTCAAGAATTCAAGCATCGGTAAGATTAATACACGTGCATAGCTCGGTTCCAAGAACTTTCGGATTATACCAAATCGACCACAGAGAGAAAGAGTTCATTAGTATCTTGTAGATAATATACCATACATTTGAACTCAAACTTCTGAATTTGATTAATTGAATAAGTGATAAAAATACACAAGTTGCATACCTGAATGGTCTTGTCGATCAAATTCTTCCTCTGTTGTGCATTTGATACATGACATACTACTCCAAAAACTTCAATTCCTCGATCACGGAGTTTTTGTACCGCTTCATCCACATTTTTCTGTAAAACGAACAGATCAAAAGAACACGCCAAGTCAATACACCAAATGCATAAACAAGTAACAAACAACCATGTTAGTATGTTAACACTAATATCTACATATGGAATTCTTCAAGCACAACCATTTGGTTGATTTGTGCAAATATCCCTTTTAACATTTCGATTCTGTCTCTATTTTAAAAGTTCTTCCACTATAGCAATTTTTTCATGTAGTCTAACGTTTTCTCGTGAGATTTTCGATTTGCTCAAAAAGGATCTTTAAACCATGATCTAAAAGGTCCATAAATTACAATAGAAATAAAAAGAGGATCATTTACGATAGCCGAAAATAACTTCAACCATTTTAGATAGACAATCAAAACACAGAAAAAGGATCAAACTTTGATCAAATTACAAACACACAGATCAAAGAATTCATATAAACAAGACAATAGGTGATGGAATCATCAAATTATGCAATAAAACACAGAAAAGGAACAAACTTTAATCAAATTAGAAACAAAAATTCACAAAAAACTTCTTGAAACACCTCTATTTAAAAAAAAAAAAGCAGTAAATCTTGAAACACCAATGCTTGCATATCCAATAAAGCACAGAAAAAACATCAAACTTTAGCTAAAAATAGAGAGACCCATATGAAGATAACACAAAAACTTGACAAAGAATTATATAAAACCCTCAAACACAGAAAAAGATCAAAACTTTAGCCAAAATTAGAAACACCCATATGAAGAATTCACAAACTTAACAAGTAATTAGGAAAAACAACCAAGAATTATTAATTATTATAACACAGAAACATAAAATAAATAAATAAATTTAATTTTATTATATCTTTTTAAAAAAACAAACCTGTTTTCTAGAGGAGATAACAACAAAAGCACCTTCTAAACCAAGCCTTTCAGCTATACTAAATCCAATTCCCTGTGTAGAAGCAGTTATAATTGCTACTTTTCCTTCAAATCTTTTCCCTAATTTTTTATCCATAGTTGACTAATAAGCTCAAAAACACTTCAATTTTTTTATTTTTTTTTAGAGAGGAAAAAATATCAATTTTCTTTTTTTGTGGTATAGAAATGTATAGTGAATTCGCTTTTCGTGGTGACTCATCAGATTATACAGTGAAATTTTTAGCAAAGTGATTTAAATAGACTTTTTAGAATTGTACCCTAAAGCTGCGAATATAGGTCAGTGCTTTCCTTTCTTTTCCGTCCTTGTTGTCCTTATTGTATTGTCATATTTCTATTGGATGAAAACAGCGCTTTCGTTGGAAGTGTGCGAATTTTGATTACCAAAATAAAGTGATAGACTGATAGGATTGAATGAGAAGTTTGTTATGACGTCCATATTAATTAATGGTTAATATTAATTCTTAAAAATTAATTACTATTAAAGTAAGATATGTCAGTACTTTTTTTGGTATGTCAAAATAATGTGGAAATAAACATTTTTTTCTAAAAAAATAATAGACAAGTAAAAATGAACTGGATGGTTGTTACGTACTATTTTCATAATATATCATATTCTATTGTATTGTTTTAATAATTCTAGTGTTTAAATAGATAGTATCGGGTTCTGTCTTTAGATAATGTCACACATTCATAATTTGAATGATAGATCTACCAGAAAGTAGAGTACAAAGTATAGCTACTATAAAAGGATAGGATACACGATGAAATATGATTATTAAATAATAAATAAAGATAAAATGAGAAGCAAACAGTAAGATAACGATGCGATCACATCAAGTCAGTTGTTAAATAAAATGAATTTTTTTCATCTTTTTTTCAAGGAATTTGTTTCCCTAAAAATAATATTTTCTAAAAAAATTGACCAACCAAGCACACCCTAAATTAAGAATAATTTGACATAAAAATTGAAGGACAGTGACATATAAAATTAAGCACTAATAATAACAGATTACAAAAAATGTAACTGCCAATTTATCACAACTTTGAAGTAAATGAAATATGGATTCACCAGTGCAAAGAATGCACAAATTTCAGTAAATACCTCAAAGATAAAACTAACATTCTGAATCATCATTCATCTAAAAATTTTTTTAAAAAAAATTAAGAGCTTTTTATTCATAAGGATTTCTGAAGTTCTTCAGAAGCTCAGGAATGTCATGGCTAAGCATATCATCCACAGCTTGAATCATTCTAGGCTTCAATTTTTCGAAATCAGTGATGTTGTAATGACCCAAAACTTCCCTAAAATGATCAACACTTGGAAAATCGCCTGCTGGTAAACGAAACGCTTTCTGGACCTGTGTCACAAATGTACATTGAATGTTAAGCATATATCTGAAATGTAAAAGAGTTCCCTTAAGTGTGTTGAGAAGTATACCTTTTCGAATTCGTTGTCAAGATTCTGAATGAGCTTTTGTTGTGTTTTGGACTTGCCCATCAGTGCTGGCATCTCCTTCTTAAGATGGCTCATAATGTAGGTATGTATCTTAGCGGCTCTTGCACGTTTAACAAATTCATTGATCTGAAATAGTACAAAAGTTGTATTAAGAATCGTAAACCATCTGGTACACAGTGTTGATCAAATAGAAATGTCAATGGACAAGAAGAGGTGATCTTACTCGACGGTCACAAGCCTTCTTTGGGATATCTATCAAGTCATCAAGAAGGTCATCTTGTTCTTTCTCGAAAAGACCCTTTCCCATAGAACCAATAGCTTCTTCATTAACAGGTTTATCGTTGAAAGAGCTGCAAAATCAAAAGTTGTGAGAACTTATTAGACACGATGCACAAAAAGGTGTTAGCTATGAACTTAGCTTCATTTATTTTACAATTGACATGCTATCCAGTGATCTAGTCACTTTGTTAAAAACATAAGAGAACTATAGAAAGAAACACCTTCCTCTTACCCTATATAGACTCGCACAACTTCAGGTGTGTTCAGAACTTTCCCGAGAGACCACATCAATGCACCATAAACTCTCATAAGCTTCCATTAAAAAAAGAGAAGGCGAAGAAACTTTTAGCATCAAGCCAAATCATTTTTGTGAAGTAGAAAAAAGCAAAGAGAAGACGTGTGTATTGATAATCCTCATATCTTACTTGTTGTGTATCAACTTGATCTGCCTTGTTTAATACAACACGGATTTTGTCTTCATGGCCTTTCAAAGATGATATAACTCGTTTAAATTCATCACTAATATCAAGTTTATGTGGGTCGAACAAGAGGAGTATCATGTCACATTTGGCAGCAAACCATGAAATGACACCAGTAAAATCGTAACTCCTCTCTGTCCTTTGCTTCTCTCCGGATAGAACTCCGGGAGTGTCCACAAATGAAATATGGTCAAGGAGCTATTAAGGAATAAACATAGACAAATTATTAAATTATCCTTCGTTTATATGACAAAAGTAAAAGAAATTGCTAGATGTTGACTCACAGAATGTGGCAACTGGGAACACTCAAATTTTGACAAAAATGCTCCACCAAACTTTGTCAAATCAGTGAATGGCATCTCGGCGTGAACAGCAATAGTGTTTCCAGGAATGCTCCTTTCATCTGGACCAGACTGAGAAAAAATAACTGTAAGACACTAAAATGAGAAACTAGTACCTTAAACAAAGTATACAACAATCAAATTGCATTGTTGATGTAATGCCGTGAAAATCTCATTGGAAAGGGAAGACTGTAAAAGACTGTTAGTGTTACAACAACTACTACTACTATTACTACAATGAGCATTAGGAGATAGTATCTTTAACCAACGGCATAAGACATGGAACAATTATTATTCCCTATTTACCGTAACCACAATAAATCTGTCGGTTGTTGGCTCTGGTCCGATATGTGCACCTATTTCAACCAAAAGAGAGAAGAAAAGAACAAACATTAGGTATATATACTGGCAAATAAAAGTACAGAAATTGGACAGTACTAACCTGGATAATTGCACTTTAGCAAGTGTTTGATAAAAGTGGTTTTTCCTGTTGAGTATTGTCCCAAAAGCATGACCATAGGCTTGGCATCAAAATCGCTCTCCGTCTATGAAAACAAGTAAAAGTAAGCATTCAGAAATACAAGTTAAACATCTATAAGGTCGTCGGAGAATACTACTATTAAGACATAATCAGTATGTTTTTCATCCACTCACCAGAGCAGGAGATGCAAAATCATTAAAGCGGTAAGTAAGCTCTAGTGGCTTCAACTTTTCATTGTATAGTTTCTTCAAACCATCAGTTACAGATGTAACAGCAGTGAGGGAAGGCTGGATCTGAATCAGAATCCAAACGAAACAATGTCAAAATTAAAAATGAGAAAATATTCAGATGACCAGTTTGTAGTAAAGACACTATTACTACATTGAGGGACAAGGCTTGGCGGAACTTTTGGTTCTCCGAGTTAGTCAAGTTACTAAGAAAAGAGATAAAATTTGAAAAAATAACACAATGCTCAATATGGAGTATGTAAACTAAGATAGATTTCATATTAACATCCCAAGGAAATCAGAACTCGCCTTCTTTCTAGATTTTTTGGAAAACATGTTGATTGGTGACGGTGGCCGCACTTGTATAGTTCCTGTATGCTTTTTCAAGTTAGGCAATTTAACCAAGACAGCTTATGATTCTTTTTATTTGTGTAAAAGCATCATTGATGTGAAATGACACTTTATACTGACCATTTGTTCCACTCAGGTTTTTCATCAACGATCCACTAGTTTTCTGTGTGGCAAAAAAAGAAACCATTCATAACCAAGGGCTTATAGTTCTCATTTCTCAATAAGAAAAAGATGAATTGTCAAAGCACTTACGGAAAATAAAGCATCCAAGCCTTCCATCGATGGAGGACTCAAAAGCTCCATATTAGCTACAAATATCAACAAGAATTAAGTCAACCATGAAATACTCAAATGTTTTCATCACCATGACAGCCAATTGATTACTATGTTAAACAAAATACATTCTAAAACTTATAAAACTATAAAATGTGCATAATCTTTTTTGGATGAACTGATGCAATAGCAAGTATGTTCACTATAAATTTACTTTATGAAAATTGAGTAGCCCATTAAGCAGATAGACAGTAATTCCTTTCAAGAGTATATAATGAACATGAACACTCAAAATAAGATAGTCATTTAAGAAATATTTCAATGATAATACATCCTCTGTTTAACACATTGACAGTAAAATACGGCAAAAATATTATTTGAGCTTAAATTTAACCTTGTGACTCTCTGACCCTAAATGCTTCAAATAGATTATAAATAATGATCAAGAAGCATTACCTTTGCTCTTAAGAAGATCAGAGCTGAGTTCAGATCCATCTTGTGCCAAGGAGATCAACTACAATAAAAAAAATAATGAATTTAGCTTCTATTTGATCAATTTAGACAGAAGTTATAGAAAGAAAGAAAAAAGTCAAGTGCCAAATATGACCTGCATTGCAGTGACAAACTCGTTGAAACCCAGAAAACCTTGTCGTTTAGAATCTGCGATTGCCCAAACCTTCATACACAAAAATTGACAAACTAGTGATTTAACACTATCACATAAGGTAATACATCTAGCAAGTCAACAAAGAAGCAAAAGCTGCTAACACAATCCAAATGTTGCTTTAAAACAAAAAGAGAACCTCAAGGTTCCCTTAAACTCATTGCACACTGAAGGACTTTTATGCTGGAAAATAGCAAGACCAGTCTATTTTCATTGGTTGGGAATTTTCTTCGACGATAAAGATAGTGGTATATATATATATAGTTAACCAAAAGATGGCAATGTAAATGACACTTACATAAAATTTGAATTAAGCAATCACTACTACAGAAGTTACTAATGAACACATAAATAACTTCTATAAGAACGAAACACTACACTGAAGTTCAAAGATGCACATGTACATATATGTCTCTATATGTGCATTTGTTATGTGTATGTATGTCTACAAATCATATATATAAATCAAAAAGCCTTAGAAGGTAAACAGACCATGTATTCAAAGTAAAAAATCATGAAATTCATTTCTACACCAAAAAAGGGACAAAAATCAGAACAATTGCACAGAAAAACACTACCTGCTTGAGTTCAGGCCTTAAATGGATGACTCCTAAATAAATTTGAATATTCAAATAATCAACCGATAAACAATTGCATACAGATTACTAATCAACAGATAATTAACAAATACACAAGCAAAACACAATGATGAAGTTCAAAAACGACCATATAATCATATACGATCACTATGTGCGCGCGCCTACATGTGTGTATGTATAAATCAGATATATAAACAAATCTCACCTTACAGGCACACGATAAGCAATAGAATATTCAAAACAAACTATTATAAATTTCATTTCACCAAAAAAATTGACAAAAATCAGAACAATTGCACAGAAGAACACTAACCTGTTTGAGTTCAGGCTTCGACAGATTCGACAACGAAAACAACTTAATAGCATCATTTCCTGTAATACGACCATCTCCATCTGCACACCGAAGCCAAAAAAAAAACACAGCGATTTAATTTTTTTTCAGTAATTTCATCGAAAAATGCAAAAACGAAGAGTTGCTCAACAGAACAGATGAAAAATGTTTAAGACGAGAACAGAAAATCGCACCTGAATCAGCGAAATTGAACCAGTTTTGGTAGATCTTTTCCTCCTCTTTCGTAAACGAAGCAACCGGAACTGATACAATCTCCATTTTTGCGTTCTTTGCTCTACGGAGAAGAAGAACAGTATTCTTCAGTAATTTGAAATTTGAAAAACCCCTGAAAATTGCGGCCCCTTTTTATAATAGATACGGACTCTATTTTCGAGGTGTTACTAAATTATGAGAAATTATCTAGCAAAATTATACGGCTATTTATCATCAAAATATTTAGAATATTAAATCTTGGTCATCCATTATATTTGAATCTGAGATCCAATTTGTTGGATAATTTGTTCGATTCTCTTGATTTTTTCAAACTGATGGCATAGAAAGAGGGAAAAAAATACCTATAAAAATAAATAGATTTTATAATTTTATTTATTTACGGGATTCATGATTTACATGTCATAAAAAATAATTTAATTTGTCCAATTAAACTTATAGATAAAAGTTTTAAATTGGATGATTTTATTGATACAAAATAAAGTTCAATGATTTTATTAGATAATTTCGTAGTTCAGTGATTTTTTACAATATTAACTCAATGGGGGTAAGGATATACTACTATCTTTTCGTTTTCTTCCATTTATAGGATAAACTAAATTTCATAGTCTCATTTTTACGACAAAATGACATTTTAATTTGACATGAAGTTTGAAAAGAATCAGAAAGTCTTGAAATTTGTGAACGTGTTACAATATTTGTATGATTATAGACCTTTGTAACTTGTCGTCTTGAACATGTACTAATATGTGTTGTTATAAATTCTTAATTCTCTATTTTAATATTTTGTTATATTAGCTTAAAAACATTTGAATAAGCGACGTTTTTATAGATATGTTCGATTGTATATGGTATCTATTTCATTTATTGATGTTTTTGAGTCTATGATTTTGAAAAAAACAACTTTTAAAACTTGTGAATTTGTTGCATAACATTTGTCTGACTTATCGTCTTAATATTATTTTCGTTATTATAAAACTCTTTATTATTTGCAAAATAAGAAATTTAATATTAAATTATTTTCAAATAGTGTCACATAAACTTGAGTTATAAGAATTTATTAAATGGACATTTAGGTCGATTCATCATTGAAAAAATAATTAGAAATAGTTAATTTTGGAATAGAAGTGACTTGAAAAGAATATTAGAAAAATGCCTTACTTATCCAATAAAATCTCAAAATTTGAAATTCAAAATTGAAACTAGCCGAAAGAAGAGACAGCCAAGAGCGTAACACTGGAGATTCAAATTATTATAATTATTAATTTATATTAAAGTGCTAATGACTTAAGGTGGAATTACATTTTACTCGGTTATCGTTTTTGGTATAATCATATGGTATTCAAAACTCATTAGCTAGACTAATTTGATTTTACGTTGCGTAAGGCTTACTAAATGAGAAAACGTTTCTTATCAGAGTTTGAATCTGAAGCATCCTATTAAAAGTAGAGGGATCTTATCTATCCTACCACGATAATTCGTGTTATATTTCAAATTATTCTAACATATTATGACCAAAATTTGGATTAAATGTAACCAATTGTTCTTTCCACAACTACAAGAAAACATTAATACATATACTTAGTCAATGCACCTTCTAAACAAAACACTAATATATGTTTTTGTTTCTTTTTAACTTGAGCATGTAGATCTTCAAAAAAGGCAACAAAACACCTGCAAAAACCATAGACAAAAGCAAAATCAGACAAATAAAGGATTATATGTAATCGAGGTGCGTGAAAGCTGACTCGGACACTACAGTCATAAAAAAAGGATCATATAAATGTGAAGCCATTTCAATTCTTTTTTCATAAATGGGACACGAAGATCACTATCTTGTCCATTGTCCATGACGTTATTCATACTGAAGTGTGTGACAATCTCATATCTTTAACACTTCCCATATACATCCATCTCATGAGTTATAGTCTAGTGGATGCAGAGTAATTCTGCATCCACCACTACCTATAGCTCAAGTCGAAGAAAGGATACAATCATACATACCTTTGATTTGGTATTTTTCTTGCGATTATTTGATGAAGACATGTTTGATTGTGGCTGCACAATAGGGAATTTTGCAGCTGCTATATGCTTTTCCTCTTTAACTTTGTTGAAAATTACTGTAAATCCTTCTCCGGATTTCGGGTCTTTCTCATCCCATGCCCCAAATTTTGGTACTGATGCTGCTGATGAACAAGACTAACATACATACACACACATGAAGAAATGAAAATTAGAGACATATTATTCCAGTTCTACTTGGTCTAAACACAAAATGCGAGTAAATTTTTACTGTCAAAACAAATTCAATTTGGTAGCAATACACGAAATACGATAAACTTAGTCTCCCAAAAATATATTCGTACATCATAAGATTGACTTGTTTTAACACACTCAAAGTGTGATTGAAGTTGAATGAGAACCATGAGGTCTAATTCCCAGTGGAAATAAAAAACAAAAGCAATAGGTGATTTTTTTTCTTATTTTTCTAGGAGTTAGTTGACATAGTTACTCGATATTTGTGTTGGTGGGAGGTTGTAGATGCTTGTAGAATTAGTCAAGGTGCACGGTGCACATAAGTTGACTCAGATATCACCACGACTTGTTTTAACCATCAAATTCATAGACAAATCTATCACTATGACATATTAATCACTTCATCAAAGCAGAGTATTTAAGAGAATAAGAAACTTACAAGATCATCAGATGGATTTCTGCTATTTTTCATCAGTCTATTCGGACTTGGAGGAACGAATCCATTGCCACGATCGTTCTTATTCTTCTTAACATCAGATGTTCTTCTTCGTCGTGTTGGCTGGTTAACTGAAAAACCAGAAATGCTCTGACTATCCCCAAAGGACTCTGAATTTGAATTAGTCGGGCCAATACTCTTGTTTTGGCCCGACTCTGCAGAAGGATTTCTGCGATGACCATATTGGTACTGATGTTTTTCGACTAAAGGAGTTTTCGTAGGAGAAATGTTAATGCTAGCATCCTCATCTCCGCAACATGCAAAGGCCTCTGGATTCTCCTCTGGATCATTTGGATTTATCATTTTACCTCCTTTATTATTACTTTTGCGCGCATTCTCAAAATAAGCTGTGTATGGCACATTTTCGCCATCCCAATTCCCAAATTTTGGAACATGTGATCCCTGATGCAACAAAAGTACTTCAGAAGTATAAAACAACAACAACAACGCCTCAATCTTAAGCAAGTTGAGGTCGACTATAGGAATCTCTATTGTTTCTATTGGTATAAAACAACAACGCCTCAATCTTAAGCAAGTTGAGGTCAACCATAATTTGTTTGTCTGGTTTTGATATAGCATGGAACTTAATAAAGTACGATGATGTCTGAGTTTTGTGGTTTTAAACTAAAGATATGTACAAGATATCGAAATGTCCTCTTGTGGACATAAACATGTAATGTGAAACGTTAACATTTGAGTTGTCAAACAAGGAAAAAGGAATTTTTTTTATACGAACTAAAAAGGAAGGTAAGACAAACAATTGAAACAGAAGGAGTACTAACATGACTGAAGAGATTCAAAATATATAAAAGTAGATACACGAAGAAAATAAGGTGATTTAACATCTATCATATATGCGTCAAAAAACAATATTCAAGAGAAAATAAGATAATTAAATATCAAAATTTTGAAGAAAGAAACATTACTTACAGCCATGAACGATATTGGAGTTTAATTCTTCTTCAATGGAAATATAATAGCTATGTATTAAGAAAACTCAAGACTTAAATTGGGACAAATTTTCCTTTTTAATTTATCTGAGATCCCAATGAGCTTTTGGACCTGCTAGGCAAATTAAGAAAAAGGTTTGTTTGGTTACATATATTTGTTTTCATTATAAATTAAGTAAAACAAAACAACCTTGGACTTCAAAATTGTCTTTAATTTCTTGGCATGAAGGAAAAAAACAAATGATCCTTAACTAAAAAAATTGATTCAATTGGTTTTTGTTGACTCATCAATTGGAGAGTTAATTGTTGGTTAGACCTATTTGTTTATATATTTCAGGAATCTTTACCAAATAGTTCGATCGGATTTATTATTTACTTGTTCTAGTCAGTATACTTAGATTATACACTTTTATTCATGTAATAAACTTAAATCCACTGATGACACTAATCAGTTTCTCAACTACATTAATAAGGCTAAAGTTCGATTACAGTTCCAAAAGGTAAACATAACGACTCAAAAGGTAAAAGCCCAAGCGAAAATGTAGAAATAGTGAAAGTAAGAACTAGGATTGACTGAAGAAGGAGACGAGGAACTAGGCTGAGAGAAAGCAGGATGAGAGATATAGAATGTTATGAACCAAGTCCAACCCAATATCGATATTAAGGTCACACAAGTAGTTATTGGGCTGACAAGAGCTATTGGGCCGAAAGCAAGCAATAGGTCCAGTTTTATTTGGGATTCAGGCCCATTTACACTTTGTTAAAAAGGACTAGGAGTTAGAAGAATGGGGAGGAAAAACTATTATGTGAAGCTTTGGCTTTATGATCCTCTCATCTCCTTTCTATGGTCTTGTATCTCACCCCTTTCTGGTTACTTCTTTCTCGATTTATCTCTCCTTAGTTAGTATATTATTACTTTGTTGTGCGTATTCTACATTATAACTTGTATTCAGTGATTAATATATATAAGAGTGTTTCTGCTGGAATTGAGTTTGTTACATAGAATTTGCCTAAGCATGAACATAATGCACAATTGTTCTTTCTAAGTGAGGGTCCTTTTAAACTAGTTGCTAATTGGGTCTGGATCCCAAATCAACTTTTGTGAAGGTCTTCTGGTTCTATTTCTCAGCCCAATAGTTGCTTGTGTGACATCCCTACAAGTATTGACATTGGACTTAGACTGATTCATAACAATTCACATGTTATACAAGTGTGTATATATATATATATATATATATATATATATATATATATGTTACACATTCACCGACTATTTTTAAGTTAAAGCGACTAAATGAACGACTATTTCGATTAATTCTTCTTAAAAATAAAATCATTTTTTTAATTGTAGTCCCTATGTTTTCCTTAATGGACCTATTCGATGCAAAGGGAAATAGCATTTTTAGTCCCTTAGTTGTGGAATTTGGATTTTAGTCCTTATGGTATATGATTTAGCATATCTAATCTTTACTCAACAAAGATGTGCATTTTGGTTCTTTATGTAGAAAATATATTATATTTGAACTATTTTAGAACTATATTACCCTCAAGTATCGAATAACAATACAAATTAATATTACATATCAACAAACCAAACTATTATGATTGATAGTGTGATAATTTTCTGACGAATTACATACAAAAGGATTGAAAGTACATTACTTCAATTAATTGAAGGTTTGTCAAAGTTAAATATCACAAGAATTAAAATTAAAATTTAACAATGTTTAAAGGACCAAACCTTCAATTATCCCTATACCAAAATGGAGTTGAAATAACTCTTGGACTAAATAATTAATGAAGTTTTTCTATATATTTCTCAAGTAAGAAAGAGTGATGAAATTTTTCCTACTAATGTAAAAATAGCTTGATGGCTTTGCACTCACCACAAAAAACAAAGGCAAATTAGGCTAAAAGAAATTTGTCATAATTAATATTGTTATAAATTTGTGAAGAGTCACTGATATAAAATTAAAAGTGCATTACTTTAATTAATTGAAAGTTCAAAGTGTTTTAAAAAAATTAAAAATAGTCAAGGGACCAAAATTATAATTCTCCCTACGCCAAAATGCAGTTGTAACGGTTTTGGGGTTATATAATTAATGAAATTTTCCTACATATTTCTCAGGTAAAGAATAATTATTAGTTTACCAATAAAACAAATATAATAATGAAATTTTTTCTATAGTCAAGGGACCAAAAGTATAATTCTACCTACACCAAAATGCAGTCAAAATGATTTTAAGATTATATAATTAATAAAATTTTCCTATATATTTTTCAAGTAAAGAACAATAATTAATTAGTCTACCAATAAAACAAATATAATAAGAAAAGTTATTCTATAGTCAAGGGACAAAAACTATAATTCTCCCCACACTAAAATCAAGTCAAAATAGTTTTTAGATTATATAATTAATGAAATTTTCCAATATATTTTTCAAGTAAAGAATTATAATTAATTAACTTGCCAATAAAACAAATATAATAAGGAAAGTTCTATAGATTTCATAAATAATTATTAGCTTCATCACTTATTCACCTATATAATGTAGAAAAAATATGATGATTTTGCACTCACAATTGAAAACAAATTAGGCTAAAGCAAAAATGGCTCCTTACTCAATCTCTTTCACAACATTTCTTGCTTTGGTTTTGATAATTGTTTGTTTCAAAAGTGGTCACTCTAGATCTTTAATCCCCATTGAAGATTATGACCCCCCAAGAGCAAGTCATTGTCATAATAATGGTGAATATTGGGTTTGTCCACCCCATAAAGGAGAGCATGTATCTAATGCGCTAAAGCAAGGATCAACCATCAAAGATAGACGACCTGTAAGATCTGAGCATGATTCTCCAATTTGGCATCCTGTTCCAACCTGGCATAAAGTTCCACCACGAGTACCAGTACTAGCACCACCACCAAAACAAGAGTAGATTAAACATATGTTCTAAAAAAATTGGGCATGTCCATCTGCAAAATGATGGTTGTGTTGAATAGTTGATGAATTTCAATTTCAATAATAACATCTTTCTTTCTCCCTTTCTCTCTTTTTAATTATTAGTCCAAAAGCATCCTTCATCTTGATCCTAACAATCAATTTTAGTTGAATGATTAATAATTTGATTCAAGTTGAATTTAATTTATACACTAATGGCAATGGTGTAAAGTTTTAATCGAACGCATCATTAACATAATTTAACACGCTATAACACATATTAAAAATGATGGATCAATTTAAAGAAATCTACAAATTATCTCAGGCTAGAATTACCTAGTGCTCTCACTATAATTATCCCTACACCAAAATTAAAATTTAACAATACTTGAAAGACCAAACCTACAATTATCCCTACACCAAAATGGAGTTTAAATTGTTCTTGGACAGAATAATTAATGAATTTTTTTATATATTATTTCTCAAGTAAGAAAGTGTAATGTAATTTTCCCTATATTTATTTCATAAATAACAATTATATCGATTTTCACTCAGTGGCGAACTCAGAATTTTCGTTCAGGGGGTTTAAAAAATAAAAATATAAACGTGTAAATAAGTCAACAAAATAAAATTTCAAGGAAGTAGTAGTATATAGTTTTAGTGGCGGACCCTTGAATTTATTTGGGTTTAACACCACATTTTAGCATGTTTTATATATAAAAAAAAAACTAAAAAAAAAAACGTGAAAACCTGAACTGGAACTAAAAATATAAAAGAACTGAAACTAAAAAAGTAAAAAATAAAACGCTAACCCAGGGAATCGAACCCTCGACGTCACACTTAAATTTACTTGTCGCTGGGCTATCTCTTTCACCTTGTCATTGAGGGGTTCAAAATATATATATCTAAATAAACAAGAAAATTTACCTTATATATACAGTGTAATTTTTTATCGAGGGGGTTCAGATGAACCCCTGGACGACACGTGGGTCCGTCCCTGTTTTCACTACATTGTAAAAATTATTCTATCATTTTGCACTCACTATTAAAAACATAGGCAAATTAAGAATATACATTTTCTTCACATCCTTAATACATATCTGGAAGAAAAATCGAAAAAGAGACAAAAGACATTTTTTGTCTGATAATCTTGTTGAAAAACATATTTTGATCTGTGATGACCTAAGCTGAGATTTTAATTTATTTTTTGCCTTTTAGATGCCTCAAGAGAGCATTTTTTGGACCCGTTTGTCCATAGATTTTCCAAGTAAAATTTAACAAATAGTGTTTATCTATACAGTTTTTTATGTGAACACCAAAGTGGTGATAAAATATTCAGTGAATATGAAAGTGTTGATATGGTTGTTGATGAAAATGATGAACAATTTGTTCAGGGTAACAAAGTCATTTTCTTTGTCTATTTCACGTTGTATGGAATGATGTTTGTTGCACTCACTCCAAACTACCACATTGCTCCAGTGTCATGGACACTACTTGTTATTTGTTGCAACGAAGATCCAATTGACTTGTAATGCAAATTTATGGTTAGTTTCGATAGTTTTTAAAACTTATGGGTATGAATAAAAAAATTTCTAAAAAAAGTGAAATATGTTTCCCAAATACTATGGTCAAACACGCGGTGAAATATTGCCCAAATTTTCACCCAAATAATATTTGCCAAAAAATATTTGAAAATCTATGATCAAACTCTAGCTCTGTGTCACCTCAGTATGCGAAGGTGTATTTATTACATTTTAAAATAATTCACGATATAAAAGGACACCCTTAGAAGAAATATTTGTTTCTAGAACTTCAATCATAGCTTAACTTATATTTATTTTTTCTTAATATAATTTAACACGTTATAACACAATTTAATTATCATTTTAAATTTAAGGTTACAAATCAACAAAGACACTTGAAACATAGTAACACGACTAAAACTTAATTCTAAACTTCCTATGGTAACTTTGGATTGTTCCTTAATCTCTCAGTATTTCATACTACGGAAATATTCTAAACTTCCTAATGGATCAAAATGTTCTTAAAATAAGTGAAATACATCAAATTTTGTC